AAAAAAGTTGGATTTGGGGTCATTTTAAGATTTGGGGGATTATATGGTGGAATGAATGTGTTTTGTAAGTGGCAAGTACATAAATTTGGAGGGACCAAAAGATGGAATGTCATACTTTGAATCCTGTCCCCCCAAATTATATGCCAACTTGGATTTGATCATGCTATGGTTATCCCTATGAAGTGATCTGATATGATTGAATCTACAGTGTTGCTGCTATTATCAAGGTCATCTTTTCCAACTGCTGATACTTTGGTTCCAATTACCAGGAATTGTCAGAGTATCTTGATTGCATATGTGATCAATTTCAGAACGTAGAATTTGATGAAAATCTTTGTCTTTCCTTTGACATTTTAGTGGTTAGTCCATAAAAATAGAGAATTGTGGGTTGTTGTTTTTTTTACCACATGTCATTTCCTTTACAGTTATTTCCTTTCCAGATGACAATATGTGCAGTTTAATGGAGCCCCTGGCAATCAGGGTCCTTAAAGGAATGGCTCTCGTGAAGCGAATATGAACATTCTTTTGGGGCACCTTTCTTTGGAACGAGTACTTATATGGATCTCTTGCAGTCAGTTGGCCAAGTAGCTGTCTCCCAAATTTCCTGGCATAAATGAATCTGTGTTTCCAGTGCTTCATCAGTTTGTTGAAACATTTCAATTGGTATTCCATCAACTCCTAGAGCCTTGTTTTGGGCTAATGCTTTCAATGCAAATTTAACTTCTTCCTTCAGCACCATTGATTCATGCTCATTTACTACCTCCTATAAATGGAATGTCAACTAGTTTTTTGTGGAAGGGTCACTCTCTGTAGCGGTACACTGATAGGGAGCTGCCAGAAGCTGGGGCTAGCACATGAAATAAGGAACATCATTGCTGATGTCAGGTGAATCTTGGCTCAAAGCACAGAATACCAGAAAGATGTTTACTTGTGTTCTGTTGACTGTGCCAAGGGACTTGAGTGTGTGGATCTTCACAAACTATAGCCTTGAGGAGAATGGGAATTTCAGAATTCAGAACTCGTACATGGATCAAGAGGCTGTTCTGCAAACAGAACAAAGGATACTGCCTAGTTTAAAATCAGGAACTGTGTGTGACAGGCTTATATTCTCTCATCATACTTATTCAATCTATATTCTGAGCAAATAACCAGAGAACATGGGTTGCATGAAGAATGTGGCATCAGGATTCAGAGAAGGCTTATTAACCTGTGATATGCAGATGACATAACCTTGCTTGCTGCAAGTGAAGAGAACTGGAAGCACTTGCTGATGAAGATCAAGGATTATAATCTTCAGTATAGATTGCAACTCAATGTAAAGAAGCTCAAAATTGTCACAACTGGACCAATAGGTAACATGATAAATGGAGAAAATGTTGAAGTTGTCGAGAATTGTGTCTTACGTGGATCCATATTTGACTTTTATTGAAGCAGATCACAAAATGAGTTGCATTATGTAAATCTGTTGAACAAGACCTCTTTATAGTATTGAAAAGCAAGGGTGGTACTTTGACAACTCAAATGCATCTGAACCAAGCCATGGTCTTTTCAATTGCCTCATATGTATATGAAAGTTGGACATTGAATAAGGAAGACCTAAGAAGTGTCTATACATTTGAATCGTGGAGTTGGAGAAGATTATTGAAAGTACCACAGACTGCTAAAAGGATAAACTGATCTGTATTAAAGGAAATATGAGCAGAGTGCTCCTTAGAGACTTCTCCTTACATCCTTTGGACATACTGTCAGGTGAGACTAGTTTCTGGAAAAGGACCTTGGTAAAGCAGAGTCAATGAAAAAGGGGAAGTCCCTCAATGAGTTGGATGGACACAGTGGCTTTACCAGTGGCCTCAAGCACAGGAACAATTGTGAGGATGGTGCAGGACCTGGCAGTGTTTTGTACTGTTGTGCATACAGTTGCTGTGAGTCGGAGCCCACTTGTGGCACTTAACAACAAGCAAGGAACCACGCATTGAATTGTTTTTGGCAAATGGGCCTTTCTTTGCACTTATGTCAAACCATAACATGCTCTTTTCATGCCGAGAAAGTCAAATAGTTTTTATCTTAGAACATGAGGATTTAAAATTTGCAAAGATGAAAATAATTTGTTGTTCCTCCTCCTCCTCCTTCCCAGAATGACTGATGGATACTCAGGAAGTGATCTAACAGCTTTAGCAAAAGATGCAGCACTGGGGCCTATCCGAGGTAGGTATATAAGCGCTTGAAATAATTACACGATTTATTTACCACTACTGATCAATCTTTTGTATTAGTGGAAAAGCAATAAAGCTGTTTAATGCTGGAAAACTACCACAAGGGAATCTCTCTATTAATCAAAAAACCTAAACT